GGGAGGATGCTCTCGAGAGGTTCGCGGGGTTGGATGCGCTCAAGCTCTTCGCCGAGGTCCTCGGCGAGAGCGTCGTTGCCGAGGAGGCGCCGAATCTAGATACAGCGCAGTCGCGCTGCGCGGCTGGCGGCGGCGGCTTCGGCGCCCCCCCCCCGGCATCGGCGGCGACGGCTCAAGCGGCGCTGGGGGCGGGGGCGCGCGAGCCCCGGATGACATGGGCCTCGACGAACTCGACGACGACGCCATCAATCACATCTTGGCCGCGGCCGGGGGCGGCATGGGCAAGGCCACCTTCGCTGGGCGTTTCGGTGGCGCGCTGCGACGCGTCGAGCGGCGCGTTTAGAAAAATGCCCCCGCGCGGTGGGCGTGGGTTCTGAATTCGGAGTTCCCGCCCCACGCCCTCCCCCGCCCCCGGGGCCCCGCTGCCCTCGGAGTTTGACGGCCAGGGCAGCTGCATTGAGGCGCGCGACGGCATCAGTTGGCCGACGCCCCCCGAGCCTCTGCGAGTTTCCTCGGCGAGCACCCCGCCAGCGCAGGAGGTCGCATATCTCCGCGACCGCGGGCCTTCTCGGCGGGGGGCCAAGGGTGGAACATGCTTTCGCCCCCCCCCCCCCCCCCCCTCCCCTGGCGGGGCTGGCCGAGCCCGGGCAGGGGTGGCGGTCTTCGTTCGATCGCGTCTCGGCTTTTGATGGCCAGCGGATTGCGCGGGCATCTTGGCCCCTGATCGTTTGATGCATTTTGTCGTTGACACCCCGTGTTGGCGCCCCCTTGACGTGATCTGCGGTTATCTCAAGAGTGGGGCGATGCGCACGATGAGCGTCCGTTTGCCCCGCGTCATATGTGAGCGACTCGATTAGGAGCACGCGTTTCTTGTCGGATGCGATTGGATTTGTGGCTCCATCTAGGGCGACGCCGCTGGGGCTGTCAGGCGCGCGGGCGGGGCCCTTTTCGCGAGTTGTCAGAAAGCGCTTTGTTTTTTTGTCATTCTCTTGCCGGCACAGCTTGCGCCAAAGGTGGCGGCGTTGGAATCTCCTGCCCAGCAGCGCGGGCAGGGGATCTGGTTTGATCAGCGTCTGAGAGAATCGATTCGGGCCATTGCGAGGCTTCAGAAAGCGGCCCTCGCCCAGGAGGGGGGGCCGGCATCCTTTTGGACTCTGCGTTGCGACGGGCAGGAAGCCCAGCGAGTCGCTACTCTTCGTCAGGCGCTCAAGCCGATTGGTGCGAAGAGCGCCGGAAGTTTCTAAGTTCGCGGGGGCGCAGCCACTTGGGAGCCGGAAGACCATCGACAAGCAGCATCAGGATAGTTGGGGCGAGTGGCAGGGGCAGGCTTTGGAAGGGGGGGCTCGGGTCACGCGCCGGCTCACTAAGCTTATGACAAACATGACATCCCACGGGCGTGCAGACCCGTCCTGGAGTTTTCTCGAGCAGCCCCAAGCCTCTCCTTCGGCGCGAAGGCGTAGAGTTGGCAGATTGGCTGAGTCCTGGCATGCGCCCCGCGTGCCGCCTGATACTTTCGTCCTCGGCCGTCGGCGGCCGAGCTGCGGAGCGCGCGTGCCAGGTTCTCCCACGACGCCCCCCAATCCCTCGTTATGTTGCACCCCAAACAGTTCAGCCGCTCGTCGGATGCGGCTCTTGAAACTTTCTGCGCCGGTGCAGGCGATCGAGATCCTGGGCCTTTTTCCGAGGCAACTTCCTGGTTTCTTCTTCCCGCTCTCGGGGACAAACCTACGCGGGGCCCCCGCCCGATCCGGCCGCCCGCGGGGCCCGCGCGAGTTTGGGGGGGAGGGGCTGCGGCGGCGGCTGTAAGAATTCAACGATTGGTATCCCAGAAAATGGTGGGCCTCTGGGCCTGGCCACTTCGCCGGGGACGCTGCGCGGCATCAGGGCGCGCGCGTCGAGCAGCCCATCGCGATGATGGGGCGACGCGAAGATTCTACTGGGGCGGGGTTAAGTATCACGAGTCGTCCTAATTAGACGACCTCCAGCGGCGCTCTCTCGATCGCGACATCGACGGGGCGAAAGCGCGGGCGATGCGCAAGTGGCGTGACCTCGATTTCTAAGATCGGGGGTTCAGTCTTCGGCTCTGCCTTGCCATGCCTCCTCGGGGCTTCCTGCCCGGGACATCCCTAACGACATTTCCGTTCGAGTCTACAGCATCGAAGCTTTCGACAATTTCGTTTCGGCCCGCGGGGATGCGCGGTGATTTTCGTGCGTTGACGATGCTGGCGTGACCGCGGCGGGGAAGGAGAGGGAGGTGATTGCGGCTTTTACGAGAGGTGCCGCGGCTGGCCCCATTGTTTTCCGAAATTAGCTCAAGGCGGCAGTTCATCCAGACAAGATTTGCACGCTGGCATCCGTTTTACATTGGCCGAGCTCATCGCGCGCCACTTCGGCGCGATGCCGGGCCAGGCTTCCAACGGCGCGGTCCCCCTGGGCATTGGCATGGCGCCGTCCCAGAGGAGAGGGTCACGGCGCGCACTGCGCTGCGAAAGCGCCAGACGCGTTTTCGCGACGCGCGTCGTCGCCATCGCGCGCTGCAGCGCTACCCGCATAGGCGTCCTCGGCAGAGAGGTCGGACTGGGAAAATATGCGCGGCTAGTTTTGTTGGCGGCAAGATTGGGATCGGCGGTTGTGGGAATGATTAATCGCGAGTTCATTATGCAGGCTCGTCGGGTCTCACTTTCCTACTGGCCTCGGCCTTTCGGGTATTTTCTCCAAGCCAAGCTTGCGATTCTTGGGGGCTCATGTGGCGCGCTGCTGTCGGCCCTGTTTTGCATTGGGCTGAGGTGGTTTGGCTCGCGCTCACCTGCCCCGGAATTTCGATGCGTGCGATTGGGGATCTCTGTCGAATTTGGCGCACCGTCACCTTCGACGATCAGGCTCCTTGACGAAATCCCATCGGCCCTGCCTTGTGCATGCGTTTTAGTTTGCACGGGTGGGGGCGGGTGTCGACGTCTGCTTCGGTTTTTCGGGGTGACGGGGGTAAGGGGGCCCGCGCGGGGTGCGCCTCTTCTTCCTTGCTCGCCCAGTGCCCCGACCTCGCTACTCAGCGTCGGCGCGAGAGGGCCGCGCGCCCATGGCCCCCGAGTGGCCCGCGTTTGCGTTGAACCCCATCAAGAAGGCCTTCGGACCCCAGGGGGTGGCCCAGCCTAGTGGGAAAGCACGCGGCCTTCACTCGTTTCCATCGAGGCGCGCGGTCGCTCGCCAGACCCCGTCCGCGCGGGCGCCCGGCCAACGGATTGCGCCCGCTTTGCGGGCAACCCGATGAGGCGCGGCGCCGCGTCTGGCAGCGCATGCGCCCCGATGCCGCTCGGGCCAGCGCTGCTGCGCTGGAGGACGTGCCTCCTGATTGGCACGGCGAAGCGCCCGTTTGTGAAGACAGGCTGTTCTTCCTGACTCGACGCTGCATGCAACTGCTGGGTCGGCCGTGCCGTGGGATTCGGTGGACCTGCGAGGTCTTGATGTTTGTGTGGGTGGTTCGCGGCGCGTCGCTGTATCCGTTAGCTTTCGCGGGCATCTCATTCCTGGATGTTCTTGGGTCCTGGGCCTGGTGAGATTGTGGCCAGGGCTCGGGGAACAGCGTGGGCACCTTGCCGCAAACGTCCCAAGCTGGCGAACATCCGGCCATGGCCCTGCGTCCCATGTTTCAGGAACTGGGGGCAGGCACGGGGGCAGCATGACGGTAGTTCAGTTGTCTGGTGTTGGCCCAGCGCGCCATGTTTCAAGGGCGCACCGACATGCGGGACTTACGCGTGAGGCGCTGATGCGCGAGAAGAGTGCGCACGTGCCCCCTGCCCTGTACGCGCCAGCTCACCGGGGCAGAAGTATCATTGACGCCCTTCCAGGTCATGAACGCCGCATCGGGCTGGACAGTTGCAGATGCCCAGGCCGAACAAGCTCTCCTCGACCACCCCTTTCCCGTTCGAAATGGAGGAGGTGGACAGGAGGTGTAAACGACTCCGCATTACTGAACGTGTGGTAGGCAAGGTTTGGCAGTCTTTCCTTAGGATAGATTCGACTGTTCGAGCGTGGGCCCAAGGTCCAAGCTTGAAACATCCATCTGGAGTTGGCCTGTGCGGCAGGACTTGGAGCAAGGCCGCTCCGAATGCCTCCATTGCCGCAAAATCCTGGCCCGTCCCGTCTTCCAGGCTCATGTTCGGTTGTCAAATTATGAGTCCGACCTGGCGAAAGGCTCTAGAATTGTCGTTCGGGTACTCCCTGGCTCACTGCCGAATGTTCAGAGGAACTGCTGAACACATGTTGTTTTTGTTTCTGCACTGTGTGTGGATCGTAGATCTTGAGACGCTGCAACAATTTGGGTCAGGAGTGTACTCAACATAAGCTGTCAGGTGCTGCCACGACCCTGCGCAGGATTTGTGGTGGCCTTTTTCCTCGCTGCAGTGATGAGTCCACGGTAGCGGCCAGTTCGCGTCGAGGGCCTGCATTATGTTTGTCTCGCTGCCGCGAAACCGCCCCGTTTCGAGGCGTCGACCGGGCAGCCAGCAGTGGACTCGCTCTTTCAGAACGACCGAATCTCCGCGTTGTTGCTGAGGACCCAGGCACAGGAGGAGGCGCCGAATATTGTCGCTTTCGCCTCTTCTGCAGGCATGTGATAGCCTGCCACCCATCGGTTCGGCTCTCAGTGGATGGTTGCTGAAGCTTGGAACGGCAACGCAATGCTGACGTCGCCAAATCACGCTCCCACTCTCCGATGCCACTCCGACAAGACACACCGATGTAGCGAAAGTTAAAAGAAATCTTACACAACCGCTCTCCATTACAAGGACAATTGGCACCCCAGTGAAATAATTTCATCGATCGTACAGCAACCATGGCCCAGACTACAAAAGAGACACCATCGCCGCGACAGGGGGAGCCATGCTGGTGCGAGATATGGAAATGCGTCATGAGACGCAGGCCGCCCCTGATGCGCCAGTTCTGGTCAGAGGGATTAGGAGGAGGAGGAGGAGGAGGAGGAGGAGGAGGAGGAGGAGGAGGAGGTGCGAAAAAGGCGTGTGGTTCCTCGTCGCGCCTCTCCCTGCCGCGCCCGTCTGCCTCCCCGCGGCTGCTCGTGCGGCCGCCGGCCAGACCGCCCCCCTGTTCAGATGCCTGGGAGGGTGATCGTGGCTGACCTGCGGTGGGAGGTTGCCAAGGGTGCTCCCGGCCCAAGGTGTACCTTGGTTTTCGCACTATCCTCAGACCCCCCCGCGTCGTGAAAAAGTCACGATGGGATGTGTTTGATGATGTGTGCCCCTCTAGGGCGCTTACCGGGTACCAGGACCATGACAAAATAATTCAGGATTAACAATCGGTCTTGGAGGAGAGGTCGAGACCTTTAGGGCCAGGAGTCGACTGTGTGAACAAAAACATAATGTCGGGGGTTGGGGTCTGGAACCCTTGGGGTTCCTTGGGCCTCGTGAGGAGTGATCTGGGGGTCCACCTGGGCCTCCCAGGAACTTTCTGGGAGCGCCTTCGGTCGGGGACACCTTTGGCCATACGCAGCCTGGTCTCCCCGGGTCAGAATTCGGGCCCCGCGCGCCGAGAATCGGGCGCCAGTCCAGGCCGGGGATGTGACCATACCCGCCGCTTTGGAGATGTGCCCCCGAGGACCTGTGGAGGGCTGGATATTCCCGCCCCCTTGAATCCGTGGCTCCGATTCCCTGGGGCACCTCTCGCAACAGGTTGATCTGGAAAGCTCTCTGGCGTGGGCTCGGGGCCTGAGTTCGTGGCAGCTGCCCTCCGGATGAAAGTAGGCCCGGCGGTTTAATTCAGGCGGCCCGAAAATGTTGCACTCTCTTTCGGTCTCCACCAATTTGTGACGCCAACGCTGCTCAGCTCACATCGTATAGATACTCCATTGTGCGTGTGGTGAGTAGGTTCTACCATCCATACCACAGCCATGACGCTTCCGCTCCCCTGGTCACTCAGAGATCACTTGTGCCTGTGTGGACACCGCATGTGACCCATGCAGAGTGCACGGGGTGATGCTCCAATTCACCTCTCATGGGAGGGTATCTAGTACCGTCGACATGATCAGGCTATTAGAGATTTGTGTCAGGCAAGCTGGACGTCCTTGCTCCCGCTCTTTGTGGCCCTCGGCGCATCTCATACGTAGACTGCTTGTGAAGCTGTGCCGTCGTCTTCGAAATTGGTAAAGTGAGGGGGCCGATCGGGTTCACTTTGTTCCTGCGGGCGCATGGCTGGATGGCTCGCGGGCTCGAACCGCGGCGCGCGACGCTCTTCGTTTTCGCCCCCCCTCATGTTTGTCCGCACTCGCAGGACGGAGAGGCTACGCAATTGAACACGGATCGCACGAGTTTCCGCTCGGTAGCAAGCATCTCAACGATGGAGCCAACAGATCTCTCGAGCTGTGATCGCGCGCGTATGCCTGCGGAGTCGATCCTTTCTCCTCCTCCTTTTCCTCCTCCTCCTCCTCCTACCAGAACCCCGTGGACCCCGCCCAGGACACACCACGGAGCCCCCCCTGGGGTCCCCCTGCGTGCCAGACAAGGCTTTTCTCGGCGCCCTCCCTCCCTCCGCTTCCTCGCGCCCTCCTCCCCTCCTTCCCCTCCCTCGGCCCTGGGCAGCCGAGCGGCTCCCCATCTGGAGGGGCAGATTCGGTCAGCCAGGCTCGAAGATCGCAGAAACAGGGGTCGGGCACGTCCCTCTACAGGAGGAAATTTCAAAAATAGGTAAACAATATTATAAGGACTATTTGTCGACTATTTTTGAATAGTTTTTGAACATGTGTTAGTGTTCTTCCAAAATCTGCCAGTGGGAGGACATGCCCGACCTAACAGGTGCACCCCGGAGTACTCAGCCGCCCAACATAACTTGTTTATTTCCTTGTAACTGCGCCGGGAGCCAGGCTATGCAGGGGTGGGAATGGCGTCCTGCTGTGGACGCTTGGTTGGATGATGGTCGGCGCGCGTGCCCCTCATCGAGGGGCACGTGAATGGAGGCGACGGCCGGAAGCGTGCTGCGGAGGAGGCGGCGGTAGATGTTGCGGCAAGGAGGAAACATTGGAGAGGGGAGGTTACGAGGAGGAGGAGATACATGTACAGATGCGGAGCTTTTTGTTCCAGTCTCGAAAGAAGCGCATGGCAGACCATCAGTAAATGCGAGCCCAAGCTCCGTGCACGACCACGTAAACTTCAAAGCTCGACCTCTCCAGGAAAAGTGAAGCAGGTAAGTCTGTACCGCGGGACCGGCGCTCATGGGGATACTCTGTCCTGCCAGTGCGGCCGCACCACTCTCGCGGGACGGGTGCTTCTGAGGACGCCCTGTCTTGCCAGCGTGGCCACAGCAAAAGGAAGAGGAGGACCAGGAGGGGGGGCGAAGGAGAAAGGAGGAGGAGGAGGAGGACGAGGACGAGGAAGAGGAGGAAAACGCCCGCTGCGCACAACGCGCGGCGAGAGCGCATGCTCGCACCCGCGCCCTACACGGAGATGCGGAGGGAGGCCAGCAGGAGGAGAGGAGATCAGAGGGAGGGAGAGGAGGAAGGTAGGGTTCGCTTCGACTATTCCGATTCAATTTGATTCGATTTCAATGGTTCCCGATTCCGATCTGATTCGATTTAGGATTCTGATTCGGGTGTCGATTTCTCATTGGAGGCCTGCTAGCCTGCCGATTTCCGCCGACTCGATTTTTCCCGACTCGGCCGCCGATGAGTTGCACATGAACCCAAACAGTGCTCTCTGGGAGACGAGAGGAGGAGGAGGAGGAGGAGGAGGAGGAGGAGGAGGAGGAGGAGGAGGAGGAGGAGGAGGAGGAGGAGGAGGAGGAGGAGGAGAAGGAGGACGAGGAGGACGAGGAGGACTTTCAGGGCTTTCCGCCTCTCGCAGGTGCGAGTCTGGCCCCGCGCACCCCCGCGCGGGGCTCCGCTCAAGGGCCGCGGGCCTGGGCCCCGCCCTTTCTCCGAGCGCGTCTGGCGGAGGCGCTCGGAGCCGTCGTCAAGGGCCGCGCCCTGAGGCCGCCCTTTCTCCGCACGCATCTTGCGGAGGCGTGCGGAGCCGTGGCATGCCGATTTGGCGAGCTGCGGCCTCAGCAGGTGGGAGCGGGCCCTCGCGCGTGGGCGCGTGGGCCCTCGGGGTCGGCCTCCCTCTCGCCGTCGGGCTTGCCGTAGTGGTCCGCGTCGTCGTAGTGCCCGCGCCCTCTTCGAGGGCGCCCCCGACGTGGGGGTGCCCGAGGGTGGGCCTCCTCGACCCTCTCCAGCTTCAGGTGCGTGGTGCGATAGGTGAGCAGGTCGAGGGTCTTCGTCAGCGTGGAGGAGTGGTGCCACGTCCTCCTCGATGGCGTGAGTTTTTCGTAACTGCTTCTTGTTGACCTGCTGCAGGAGGGTGTACGTGTCGGGGAGCTGAGGTCTGCTTCTCCTTCTGCTGGTTGTACCAGCTGTCGCCTCTCGTGTTCTGCGTCTGGCCGTAGTACTGGTACTCTGAGTCGCACATGTGCCCAACCCCGAGGGGCGGGCCAGTTGGGCATTCGTACCTTGTCCAGGGCCGCGCCCTGAGGCCGCCTTAACTCCGCGCGCGTCTTGCGGAGGCGCGCGGAGCCGTGGTTCACCTTCTGGTCGTGCTTCTGCTTGCACTGGAGGTGGCGGGCCCGCGCGTGTCGGCGCGTGGGCCCTCGGGGTCGGGCCTGCTCTCGTCGTCGGGTTAGCCGAACGGGTTCGCGTCGTAGCGCCCGAGCTCTCTGCAAAGATCTTCCCAGATGTGTGGGTGCCCGCGGGTGATACTCCTCTGATTGCTCCAACTTCATGTTCTGGAGGGTAATCAGGCCGCGGGTCTTCATCTGCTCGGTGGAGTGGCGCTTCAGCCTCCTCGATGGCGCGGGAACCCCGTATTTACATCATGATGCCCTGCTGCAGGGGCGCTCTCGTGTCGGGGAATTGAGTGCGGCTTCTCCTTCTTCTGGTTATTGTCTCCGCTGCCGCTCGTGAGCTGTGACTGGTCGTTGCGTTCTGGCTCCCCAGGTTGTCGATACCCTCTACCCTCGATGGCCTTTGGGCTGTGGGCGAGCAGTGCGTGCTACCTGGGGCGGATCCAGCGGCATGGCGACGGGTGGGCATCTGAGAAGCCGCGTTCTGACACCCCAGATGGTCGGTACCCTCAACCCTCGACGGCCTTTCGGCTGCGGGCGAGCAGTGCGTGCCACCTGGGGCCGATCCAGCATCGTGGCGACGTTTGTGCGTCTGCGATGCTGGACTGGTGCTCTGCGTCGCACTTGTGCCCAACCCCGAGGAGCGGGCCAGTTGGGCATGCTCGGTATCTGTATCTCGATCATCCGCAGTCTCCTCTGTCTTCTCCTCCGCTGCCTTCATGAACCAGTTTGCCGACGGTAACAACTGCCACGGCCAGGTAAGGTCCCGCTCACATTGGTTGAGGAGGCTGATCAGGGTCTGCTTCCCTGCGGTGGGTAGTCTTTTCAGGTCCGTCGTGCAAATCATGTCCACTCCCTTTCCCTTGTCGGGTTCGCCTTTCGAGCACTTGATCAGGTCCTCGATGGTCCAGGGGTCGTGTTCATTTTCTTCTCGCGCATCTCGTCTGAGTTCCTTCAAATAACCTTCGTGTGATGTATGTGGTGCATCTTCGCGTTCCCATAACCTTTGAAAATCGACACCACGCTTGTCAATCGTATCCTTCGGGCTGCATATGGTGCCGTATTCAGTATGTATATCATGCTCATGTCGGGGTGGCGGCTTATTGATCCGATGCCGTACTCCGATGGTCTTCTCTGCTTTCGCCAACCATAGATTGCACTGCTTGCTGCTGTCCCGCATGTCTTGCTTGAGTGGTATCGGTTCCAGCGCTGTCATCTTATCTGCCCATATCTGCTGGTGGTGCATGTCAGCGTGCGAGGCCCCCTTCTCAACTGGTGGCAGTCCTTCCCGAACGAGGCGTCGTCCTGCGCTGGCGCGTGCTTCCTGCTGTTGAAGGCCTCGCCCGCGTTCTTGTAGTTTGACCAGGGTGCTCTGCACTATGTCGGCCCTGTTCCACCAGTCTGTTTCACCAGTCAGCTGCGCTGTCTTGTAATCGTAAGGGTGCCCACGCCCGCGAAATACTGCTCTGCCTGCCCAATCCACTTTGTAAGCCATGCAATAGAATTTCTCCAGCGTGCCGATGAACTGGTGGTGTTGCCGCCCTAGTCGTTCAGTACCGTTCAGGTCGGTCTTGTATGCTGCACTCTGCTTTATGTGCTCGGGGGCTGTGTCAGTCGACTCCAAGGTTTGCAGTTGCGCTGCCACCTCCCAAGCATCGCCCCTGATTGCGGTGATCACCCCTGCTGCTTTGTCCGCGATCCGCTGCTGCATCGTCTGTGAGGAGGTCCTGTGGGTTTCCTTCGACAGGTCCGACGAGTTGGTCGTGGCTGCATTTGGGTCGTGCATGGTCTCATCCGTGCTCTCCGCCTTTTGAGTAGTATCCTTCGCCTCTGGTGTGTCCCAGGCCCCTTCGCCATCTTCGGGCATGAGTATGTTGCCGTCCGTGTTAAGAAGAAGGTTCGCATCTAGGTCGACGAAGGGGTCTATGTCCTCGCTGTCCATTTGTGTGACGACTCGTCTTGGGACGGGTCTGCTGGTCTCGACGTCAGCGATCGCCCCAGTCTGGTTTCTCTTACAACCGTCTGGTCCAAGGGCTTCCCATCTCGCCGTGACGGTCTCGGCGGCCTCGTCATCGGAGAGGCTGTCAGACTCGTCCAGGACTGGTAGCGCTGCTTTCTTCTTCTTCTTCTTTGCTGCTTTGCTGTTGGGGTTGGCCTTCTTCGACAACTTGGGGTGGGGAGATGCTTTCGGCATGCATAATCTCCTGCATTCGTTCACCTGCGCCGCTGCCTGTATTGCAATAACCAGCCCCACATGTGGTTTCCCAGGTACATCGTGAACAGCGTGTATACCTCGAACAAGTTTCTGGCCACCAGGGTTGACCAGGGCGTAGCCTATGTTCGAGGGGGTCGCGTCACCTAAGAAGGACGTGTTCTGGCCCTCTGGCAATTGGACCACACCCGTCGCGCCCAGTGCCGTCGGCCACCCTGTCTCCTCGAGTGCGTCGAACTCGCAATTAAAGTCGCCGCAGATGATCCACGGCACAGAGGTAGCATGTAGGAATGCCGCGAGCGAGGTCAACTTCCTGTCGTTTACCCCGTCGACGAGGGAGGCGTTCGGGTCCAAGTAGAGGGAGATGATGAGCAGCGATGTGCCCTTCAAGTGGAGCGTGACTGGCGTCCAGTCGATCATATCCATGTCGCACGGCCCTTGGAGAGTAGTCACACTCGAGGTCGTGTCTGCCCGTGCCTTGTGGCGTAAAGAGGTAGCCTTCAGGTGGCCCTTGGTGATGACAGCTGTGCCACCGTGGGACCCCTT